GAGAGAGAGAGAGAGAGAGAGAGAATTTTTAATATTTATTTTTCAGTTTTCGGTGGACACAACATCTTTATTTTATTTTTATGTGGTGCTGAGGATTCAACCCAGCGCCATGCGCATGCCAGGCGATCATGTTACTGCTTGAGCCACATCCCCAGCCCCATGAACCTGACCATTTTCTAATTACTTGCTCACAGAAAATCTAAATCTAGAATTCACTCTTGCCCATTTGTTGAGAATTTTGAAGGGCATTACACTAAAAACTAGAATGAAGAATAAAAAAACTCAGTAAAGTTTGGTAATGATAATACCCTTGCTGAGAAAGAACAAAATGACAAAATGTAAACTATTGTCAAGAGAATATACTCCATCATATAAAAAATTGAAAACCAAATGTCTATTCAAGTTACTCTTTAGAGAAAGAGAGATTGAAAAACCTCTGTTTCCCACACAGTGTATTTCCTTGAAAGATGCCCAGTTTTATGGAAACTATATGAGCCTGGGCAGTACAATATCTTAACTTAGTGAAAACGAAACAAACTTATTCATTAGGGCCCCCTTTCTTCTCCTTAACTTCCATATGCAATTTCCCACACTAAATTTTGAGTAATATAAAAAGAGTAAAAGAAAACTGAAACCATACACATGACCTTATGTACATGTAAAAAAAGTGTTTATATTCCACTGTCTACATCAACATAACTTTACTAATATAGGATTCTCTTTCCTAGGAGAATAAAGTTGCGAAATCTTCATGGTTTATTTCACCATCAGCAAGAAAATGCCAATTCTGCCACAACTTAGTGTCAAACGACATTTTTTCATCCCTACATTCCTTGAAATTCATGTCTCTGAAATCATGCCTTTAATACAGACAGACATATCACATGTTACCACTCAAAAGTGGAAGCATAGAAAGCTGACCTCATAGAAGTAGAGAGTAGAACCGATGTCAACAGAGACTTCAAGGAGAAGAAGGGAAGGAAATAGACCAGTGGATGTGAATCAGGTACCAAAATATAGTTAGATAGGCGGGCAAGCACTAGTATACTATAAAAGAGCAGGGTGGCTACATTAAACTATTGGTTGTGTATTTCAGAATAAGAAGCAGAAATGATTTGGAATATTCTAACTAGAAGAAAAGATAAATGTTTGAGGTGAAGGAAATGCTATTTACACTGGTTGTTGATTAAACATGGTATACATATTTATTGAAATCACAAACTATACCCAATATAGTCAACTAGTAGGAGTAAATTAAATATAAAAAATTTAAAAAATCAGAGCTTTGCCGTGTCCACCAACCCTAAAACATGACATCACAATTTCTTTCTGATTCTAATCCCCATCACCTATCTTCAATGATTTCCTCAGACACTAGACTTCAAAATCTGAATAAATGTATCTTAGGCCTTTTCATCCTTTAGATGTTAGTTTCTCTATTAAAGTACTACACTTCATTATAGCATTAAGCAAAATATTAGCATTATTGTATGCACTTTTAATTGGGCTGATATTTGGTGATCTTCTGTATTCTGATGAGCAGAGTTATGCTTAAGTATATCATATGACAGTTACCTTAGCTTCGATCTCAGATCAATATCTAAGGATGTATCTGAGACAGATGAACAACAACAGGCATAGTCAGGGAATCTGTTACATGTCCATATATTTAAATATATACAATGTGGCCCCCAAAATAAATACATCTCAATGCAATGATTGCATATTGTCTATTCAAAACACATACAAAATTAAGATTACAGTGGTGTATTAAATTCCTTAATAAATATTGCTTTCACTTTGAGTCTTTCCAAAAAATATCTTTCCCTAAATATAGACTATTCTGAATGTGAGTTCCAACAGAAGGACAAAGCAGGTATGAGGGATTGCTGAAGGATCTCATTGTGCAAGACAGGATGTTTCTGTTGAGGCAGGAAATGTCCAGCCCCCATTTCAGACAGCCAATTAATTCAGTGTGCATGCACTTTGTCTTGCCTCAGTTACTGTATATGTGCCCTGCCCTCTGCTGTCTGTGCCCCTAGCAGGGCTCAAACAGGTTGCACTTTTTGTCTTTCCTTTCTTCTTTGGCAGACCTGATCCTTTCTTGCTAGATGTCAGCAGATAGGTCCTTAGATCAGCCCTATAAGGAATCCCAGTGTTTTGAACTGTGAGGAGGTACCACCAGTGGTGCTTCCAGCAGGTGGGACTCAGGGATCCCTGGATCTGGAGGTTATTGTCCTTCTTTCAAGATGCGTGCTTGATTACGGAGAGGCTAGGAAGAGGGAGTAAAGCAGCCAGAAGCAAGGATGGCTGCCTTTATAGATGGGGTGAGTGTTGGGGGTGGTGATGGAGTTATCAGAATCCTGGAGTTGTTTTTTGGGCCCATAAAGTAAGCATGGAAATTCAGGCAGGTAATGGAGTAGGTTTTTACTAAGGCAGTGGACTGCATATGAGATAATCATGTCATCCATATCATGTATTAAAAAATTCTGCCTTGAGGTAATAGTGTATAAGATTTGAAGTTCAAACACTATATGACATCATGTACAGTCAACATAAGTACATTTTACACATAAGTACATTTTACAAACTAATGGACATTAGTTACAAGGGCTTCTGAACTTAATGAAACACTTCATATTTAGGGAAGAAATTACCAAGACTTAGGGTTCACAATGTTTTTTATCTATAATGCTAAACCATTCTATTAGACTATTTGCATTGGAAGATCATTTTCTGATCACTTCCAGGACCTTCTACCATGACTAAAATGAAATCCTAGGAATCTCATTCATTTAAATGAATATAACGTTAAAATCGATAACAACATATGTGTACATGTAGCGTAAAAAGTTATACCTAAGGGAAAAGGAAAGAAGTACTTAATAAAAGGTCTGTACAAATTACTTTTCTGTAATGCAACTGATAAATGACAAAATTGCTGTTTGACAATATAACTATTGAATCAAGTACTCAATTCAGATTAGATGACAATAAAGAAAATGGAATAATCCCCAAAATGGGAAATAATAACAGGCATTAAATATATTGTATAATTGAAAGGGAACACACTTTGAAATCTAATAGTGTCAAAGTATGAATGAAATTTTTGATGATGGAGGAAAATATGCATTACATGTTATATCCCAATGGAAAATTAATCTAAACACAATAAATATTATGGAAGAATTTCTGAACTTTGGCAATTGTCCCTTGTAAGCACATTTTAGATGCAAAGGTTTGGGGTTACCAAGTATCTTACTCCCCCCCCCTCTCCTCCTTCATTTATTCTTTTTACATCCTTATTTATAGACCTGTATATTCATTCGTTTATTTTTCACTCTACAATAAGACAGTATATCTCTTCTCCTTTTGATGTTTAAAATGATAGTAATGGCTGAAAATTAGCACGGATAAACTATTTTGCAAAGGAAATGCTTTCAAGTGTAAAAGGAGGTGAAAACTGAGGAATCATGTTTACCCTACCTAGAAAACATTTGGAGGGGCTGGGGTTGTGGCTCAGTGGTAGAGCACTTGCACAGCATGCATAAGGCACTGGATTCGATTCTCAGCACCACATACAAATAAATAAAATAAAGGTCCATCAATAACTAAAAAAATATTTTAAAAACAACAAAAGAAACACTTGGAGGTGAACTAGCAGAAAAAAACCTATTTTCCACAGTAGAGAAAGACAAATGCAATGCTGAATTTCTCTTTCACATCACTTTTGCAGATGCAAATGTGGCAGTAACTGTTTTAGCTACCATATATTCAAATTATTATTTCCAGGCACAATACTTCAGCCACATCTTTTTTAGTGATTCATTTTGTTTCATGGATTTTTAAATGTATTTCATAGAATTTTTAGCAAAGATGTCTAAAATTTGGCTCTTGATTTTTGAGGACAAGTTCATTTCATTTAATGTGGATAGTACTCAGTCCCTTAATTTCCTGTACCAATGAAAATATGATGTGTTGTAATAACAGCGATAATGTAGATAATGTATGTGCATGGGAGTCTTTCTTCAAAGTCTCCCCAGAGGCCTAACTGCATATAAGCAAAACAGTGACACTTTGATTACTGAATTTTATAGAACCAAAGCTCTGATGTTGTTTCTATGCTTTTAATATGATGTAAATAAAGTTCCAACAGGTGCAGTGGTGCATGCCTATAATCCCAGTAGGAGGACTGAGAGTTCAAAGCCAGCCTCAGTAACAGTGAGGTGCTAGGCAACTCAGCGAGATCCTGTCTCTAAATAAAATAAAAATAGGGCTGGGATGTGGCTCAGTGGTTGAGTGCCCCTGAGTTCAATCCCTGGTACCCCCCCAAAAATAAAAAATAAAAAAAAATAAAATTCTTCTGATTAATGATTCTAACTGCTATTTTTATATTCCAGGTGAAGGGCAACAAGATGTACAAATGAAGACAAGCTGAAACCAGTCAGGCCATTGTCATATTGAATATTGGACTTCAAATTCTTTCAATAAACTTTTACAGATTTCTCCAGTGATGTCTTCTGTATTTTTTGTAAATATTTTCCCTAGGTATTTAATATTATTGAAAATTGTGTCATGTTTGGAATTTTGTATTTCAAGGTGAATATGTAAAAGCTGTTATGTACAAATATAGATATAGATAGATAGTTTTTCTATCCAGCAATGCTGCTAAACATATTTATTCCATATTTGTCTCTTGGCACTTTGGAATTTCAAAATACACAATCATATCATCATTGAATAATAATAGCTTGCTTCTGCTATTGGAAGCATCATATTATTTTTCTTTTTCATAGATTATAATAATGGACAGGCACAACCAGTTCCATGGAAACACTACTATCATATATGCCTTGAGGAATAAAACTTATTTCCTATTCTCTGAAACTAAAGTCTCTGTAAGGCTTTTATAATTTTGAGCTAGATTTTCTGACGTATGGCTCTTTTTCAGTTATGTTATTTCATCATTGGACCCCACTTAAAAGACAAAGACAGAAGAAGTAGCTCCAGTCCTCCATGACTTCAGACTCTTTAAGGCACTTATCTTCCCTGCCAGACAACTATTATGGAGCTGTCCCTCTCAAAACTACCTGCTTCCTTTTCTATGCTGATAATAAACTTTTATGCAAGGAATGTTAAAAATCACAACTCCATCAACTTGCCTAGATAATTCTGATCTCTGCTATATGGTCATGAATGAGCAGTCCAACCCTAGACCTGCATGTTGCTAATGACAATAGCTCCATTTATTATTGACTTTTTAAAAATAAAACAGTTTTAATAAGAACCTTACACTAATTGTGTATTATTTGGGGGCTAAATTTCAGTGTGACAATTTCATTGCTTATGAAATATTTTTTATCTTCAAGCAATGTAAAAATTGATTCCAGTATAGAACAGACTTGGAGTTCCAAGCTCAAAGCCTTTGAATTTTTCAAAGCAAGTACTTCTAAAAGAGTTTACTACCGAGTTTTTGTTGTATTTATTGATACAGTAATAACCTGACGCGTTCATAAAATATTGATGGCTGTATGCTGCCAATTATGTGAGAAAACCCTAGGCAATATAGCTTGATGAAAGTACCAGGAATAGCAAACTCTAAAGGCATTAGATATTCTAGCACTTCGGTTTATTAGTTTTTGTATTTTACTTGGTGCATTGTAATTATATATAACAGTGGTATTCATTGTTACATATTGGTACATGTACATGTTATAACAATATAATTTTGTCAACATATTTCCCCTACCCCTTCCCTCTCCTCTCCTCATACTCCCTTTCCTCAACTGTACTAGTCTTCCTTCAGTATTCATCAAATCCCCCATACTCAATTTCTTTCCCTTTATTCTCTCCAGTTTTCATTCATGAGAGAAAACACAACCTCAATTTCCTGAGTTTGGCTCATTTCACTTATTTAACTTAACAAAAAAGGCTCTCAGGTTCCATCAATTTTTCAGAACATGACATAAATTCATTCTTATTTAAGGCTGAATGAAACTCCACTGTATATATATACCACATTTTTTCTACATTCATGTGTTTTGGACACCTAAGCTAATTCCATATGTTTTTTTTTAATTTTAATTTTCTTTTTTTCCTTTTTTTTAAAAAAATAAGGTTTTTTTTTGGTTCTTGTTATACACTACAGCTGGCAAATATTTCCTCCCACTACAGTAAATGTATTTTGACATATTTTACATATATAGAGTATAACTTCCCATTCTTGTAGTTTTACCTGATGTGGAATTTTATTGGTCATATATTCATATATGCACATAGGAAAGCAATATTTCCTATTCACATTCCCCCTCCCTTCTCTTAATTCCCCTTTGTCTAAGCCAAGTTGTTCTATTCTTCCCTTTTTGTGAGTTAGCCCTTCAACAAAAATGGACACATAAAGAATATGTGGTATATATACACAATGGAATACTACTCAGACATAAAGAGAAATGAAATAATAACACTTGCCAGTAAATGGATGGAACTGGAGACTATCATGCTAGTTGAATTAAGCCAATCTCGAAAAAACAAAAGGCCAAATGTTCTCTCTGATATACAGATGATCCCATAACTTAGCTATAGTGACTAGTACTACAATAAGCAGCATGCATGTGTGTCTAAATTATGCTGTCTTTAATTCTTTTGCTTAAACACTGAGGAGCACCATAAGTAGATCATATTTCCTTTTTTTAATTTTATGAGGAACCTTCATACTAATATCCATGGTGGCTGTGCTAATTTACATTTCCACCAACAAATGTATATTGTTTCCTCTTCCCCTGTGTCCTCACCCTCATTTATCATTATTTCTATTCTTGATAATTGCTATCCTGACTGGGGTGTGATAAATCTCAGTGTAGTTTGATTTGCATTTCCCTGATGGCTAAAGGTCCTCAAACATTTTTTTTTTCATATAATCATTGGCTATTTGTACTTTTGAGAAGCATCTGTATACTTCATTTGTCCTTATATTGAATGAATCAATTTTGGGGGCTTTGGTTTTTTTGAGTTCTTTATATATTTTGGATGCTACTGCACTGTCAGAAAGGTAGCTGGCAAATATTTCCTCCCACCCTGTAGGTTCTCTCTTCATGCACTTAATTATTTCCTTTAATGTGCAGATGCTTTTTAATTTGATATCACTCCTTTTATTTATTCTTGATATAACTCCCTGTGCTAAACAAGTCCTTTTCAGGAAGTTGCTGCCTTTGCCTATATGTTGTGTTTTCCTCTAGCAGTTACACAGTTTCTGTGTGTATACCTAGGCCTTTAATCCACTTTGTGTTAACTTTTGTTCAGGGTGATGTATAAGCATCTAGTTTCATTCTTTTACAAATGGGTATCCAGTTTCCCTCGTGCCATTTATTGAAGAGATTATGTTTTCTCCAGCAGATGGTTTTGGTACCTTTATCAAGAATCAGAAGACTATCTATATATGGGCTTGTTTTTGTGTTGTCTATTCTATTCCATTGATCTACATGCTTGTTTTTACAAGCTGTTTTTGTTACCATGGCTCAGTAGTATAATTTGAAATTAGGTATATTAATGCCTCTAGTTGTGGGCAGCCAGTCTGAATGATTTTGCATTCTTCTTCCCTGAGCAGAGGGGCTCTGACTGTTACTCTGTCTTGTAGTGATCTGGACATTGCCCTGATCCCAGAAGTTCAAGGACAGGTCTTCAGATGTAGGTGCATTGCCCCATGGATTGAGCTATACTCACCTGTTTCTTTGTGATATTACCCCTTTGCCCTGTTTGGGATAGAATGTTCCATGGAAACATCCCTTGTGTGTCCCTTTCTCTTGCTCTGCCTTTGGGTGTGGCCTTCCTAGATATCAGTCAACCTGCTGACAGCAGACCTCAAGAGGCTAGACTCAACCCCCTGAAACCTGACCCCTTGCCTCATTTGGCTCCTCCTCAATAAAAGAGTTCAGCAGGAGCTCCCCCCCACCCTGGACCCTTAAGGCCAGAGGAGCCATCACAAGATCACCAAAGAAAAATATATCTCTGTCTCTTGTGTGGTTATTTTGTGCAGCCCAGTTCCCCTGGAGTGACCCTAAGTGTTGTCCTGAGGAATTCGACATTTAGTATTACTTTTTTGTTCAGGATTGTTTTGGCCATTCTCTGTCTTTCGTTTTTCCATATTAAATCTTTTTAAGATTATTTTTCGAGGGCTAGGTGCAGTGACACATGCCTGTAATCTCAGCAGCTCAGGAAGCTGAGGCAGGAGGATCACAAGTTCAAAGCCAGCCTCAGCAACTTAGTGAGGCCCTAGGCGACTCAGTGACACCCTGTCTCCAAATAAAATACAACAATGGGGTGGGGGTGGGGCTGGGGATGTGGCTCAGTGCTTAAGTGCCTCTGGGTTCAATTCCTGGTATAATAAAAAAGATTATTTTTCTAGTTCAGTGAAAAATATAATTATTTTTAATGGAGGCTATACTGAATCTCTGTAGATCTCTTTGGGTAATATGTATATTTTAATGATGATAATTCTGCCTACTCATGTACATGGCAATTATTTTCATCGCCTAATGTCTTCTCTTTCTTTTTTCAGTGTCTATAATTGTCCTTGCAGAGGTCTTTCACCTCCTTGGTTAGATTAATTTTCAGTGTTTTTTTTTTATTTTTTGGTGTTAAGCATATTGTGAATGGAATTATTTTTTTCATGGTTTCCTTCTCAGTGGGTTCATTATTGTTGTATAGAAAAGCTGTTGATATTTGTATGTTGATTTTGTATCCTGCTATCTTGCTGAATGTGTTTATGAGCTCTATCAGTATTCTGGTGGAGCTCTTAGGATCTTCAAAGTGCAGCCTCATATCATCTACAAATTGGGATAATTTGTCTTCTTCTTTTCTTCTTTGCATCCCCTTTATTTTCTTGCTTAATTCCCTTGGCTGAAATTTCAATTACTACATTGAATAGTCATGGAGGGAGGTGCATCCTTCCTTTGTTTCTGTTTATAGATGAATATCTTTGTATTTTATCTCTAGGTTCCTCATCATTGTTTTTGTGAAGGGCTACTGGATTTTGTCAAACACTTTTTTGCACATAAAGAGATGATCATGTGATTTTCTCTTTCTCTGGTGTATTACATTTAATTTGTCTACATTGAACCATCCTGAAATTCCTGGAATGAAACCATCTCAATTATGCTGTTTGATATTTTAATGTAATATTGCATTTTGCTCACAAGTATATTATTAAGGATTTTGCATATGTGCTCATCAAGAATATTGGTCTTTCTTTCATTGATTACTCCCTGTTTGGTTTTAGTTTCAAGGTGATTATGGTTTCATGAAAAGGGTTTGGAAATGTTCTTTCCCTTTCTATGTCATGGAATAATTTCAGAGTATCAGGTTTAGTTCTTTATTAAAAGTCTTATATGATTCAGCTGTGAGTAAACACATCAGGGCCTGTGCTTTTATTTGTTTTCAGGTTTTTTTTTTATTACTGCTTCAGTCACATTGCTTGT